CCCCCCTGCATCTGCTCCCGCTCCGCAGGCGCGAGGAGCTGGAGAGCAGCCAGGCCGCGTGGCTGGCGCGGGCCGAGGAGTACGAGGACTCCCACCTGGGAGGCTTCCGGCGCATCTACCCGGCACATGGAACGGACAAGTACGAGCCCTTCTTCAAGCAGAGCGGCTCCCTCTTCCAGGAAACAGCAGCCTCTAAAGCACGAGAGCAGTGTGCCAGGTAGATGCCTGCCCTGTAGGGATGGCATGAATGCTGCTCGCTTCTGATCCCTCCTGGGAAATGGCTCTTTCTGTTGCTTAAGAGCCGTAAGAGAGATGGTGAGAGCTGGAGGAGGGGGGTCTGCCTGTGCTGTGTCACCATGGCGGAGGCGCTTCCGATGGCCGGCGTCCTTGGGAGGCAAGGGCAGTATTCCAGGGATTTGGGGATTCTGGAGGCGCTCTGCTGCACGTGGCCTCCACCTTTGTGGTGGCACAAACTAATTCAAGAGCACTTCCGACAGAGCTAAGAATCTCTTTCAAAACCAGTCCCAGCCCATTTCTTGGCAACTTCCATTATGGTCTCTACTCCCTACAAAGCTTCTGGCTGTAGGATAATGTTCCTGAACCGAACTCTCTGCAGCTTTTCAGTGACCAAGACTGATGTTTTATGGCAGGCAGCAGCTGGAGGAAATCCGCTTGAAGAAGGAAGAGTGGGAAGTTCTTACTGGGAAGAAGAAAAAGGAGAGAAAAGAAACCCTGCAAGGAGAGTCAGCTGGGGACAAATCCCAGACCCGCAACAAAACCGGAGCTCCTGCAACCCAGCCCATCTACAGAAGCACCAGGATGTGGGACAGAAAGGTGCCTTTTCCCCATCCTCAGTGCTGGTCCGTGGGGCTCTCAAGGGCAGGAATGTGGCTCCAGATGGACCCGTGGGTATCTCCCGAGGAGCAGAACTGCAGGGTGGGACCCCCGTTCATGAAGTGTGATTAGTTGATAGCTCGTGCTGGGAGATGCTTGTGGTCACCACTATTGCCCATTCCGTGTTGCGCTTCCCACGGGGACCTTCTCCCCACTCCACCCTGACGTCCCTAATTCTCTCTAGGCCTCCCTAGTGCAGCCTGCAGCTTTTTCTCTCTTGTGCATTACCTGTGGCTTCAACCTGGCTGTAACACAGGTGTTTCTTTCCGAAGATGCAGCAACAAATGCAGTATGACTCTATGCTGCCCCAGGATATTGTGGAAAAGGAGGAGCAGAAAAGAGTAAAGGCTCTTATGCAGCGTGAAAAGCTCATCCGCAGTCTCGGCATCGTAGATCAGCTCTCGTGGCTGATCCCCCCGCTTGGCAGAGCAGCAAACAGCTCCTGCACCGTTGTCGCCCAGAGCCAGGTAACAGATCCCGTAGGGAGACCCCGGGAGCCCGAGGCGGCCGCGCGAGGGAGGAGACCTGGGCGCTGAGCGCCTGTGGTGGGGCTGAGTTAAACGGGGTCCAGGGAGGACCCCGGGGCTTCGTAGGGGCAGCTTTCTCTCCCGTTGCAAACGGGCGCCCTGGCACATGCCGGTCGCCCGCGCGAGAGCCCGAGCTGCCTCGGCCAGAGCGTCCTGGCGGCGCGCGAGGGCAGAGCGCAGGGTGCCCTTCCCTGCACCAAAGCTGCTGGCGGTCGCCGGAACGCAGCGTCTCCGGGGCACTAATGTCCCTCATGCCCAGGTGCTCCTTAGCTGGCTAGTGCCATTTCAGTCCTTCATTCTAGCTAAGTAAAGGGAATTGCTGGGTACGCTCTTAGTAGCTGTGAGCACTAACATGCCAGGAGCTTGGTAAAGGAGCACAGAACAGAGAGGGGCTGAATGGAAGTGGAAAGAGGGCAAGTATATAATAATACCTACATTTAAGAAGTGCTTCAGTGAATTCTGCACTGTAGCAGAGGCCTCTCCCCAGACGCTTCCTGCCGTCCCCGCGCGCGGGGCTGAGCGCGGCCCCTGCTCTCCCTGCAGCTCCCCCGGGCCCCGCTCCGGGCGCAGGAGGCCCCCGCGCTCATGACGCTCATCCCGCTCTCGCTGCTGGGCGGCGCGGGCCGCGCTTCGGGACCGCAGATCACGCACAGGGCTCCCGCCAAGGCC